TGGAAATGCAACTGCCAGGAAAAAGACAAAGAGGAGATATATGGATGCAGTTAGAGAGGACATGGAGGTAGTTGGAGTGAGGACAGAGTGAGATGGAGGATGATTCGCTGTGGCGACCCTGAAGAGGGAAAAGCCGAAAGAAGAAGAAGAATATATGTATTAAGGCATTTTAAACCCTTCCCCTACTCTCGCAATATTCTAAACAATGTTAAACGCTCTAAAAGAGCACAGCATGTCATGATCTCCTAGGGGTGTAACGGTACGCTAAAATCACATTTTGGTTCAGTTCAGTTTCAAGGAGGGCTCGGTTCGGTTCATTTTTGGTACAAAAAAATGCCAAAATAAAAACTTACAAAATGTTTATTTTGAAAATATGCCAAGTAAACAAGTTCAGTCATTACAGACTTCTTCTGGAGGTGATCTGGTGGATGAAGAAGACTCAGCTGCTGCTATCCTCAAACGGCAAACAACACAGAGATAAAAAAAAATTGAGTTAATAAGATGATAATTTTAAATTAAAAAAGTTAATTAGATCACAGTAATACTATAACAATACCTCTTGTTGCACGGTCATCATATGAGGTGGTTGAATATCCTCTGTCGCTCATCATCAATGTGGCAGGGCTTTAATCTGGGGTCGGGCTTATTGACGATATCAGTTTTAGCTTTTTCATAAATTGCTGCTACAACTTTTTGGCTGAAGTGTTGACGTGATGGGATGTCGTAGGCAGCGGGGTTCAAGAACTTTAATCATATGCTTAAAGCTGGCACATCAACAACATTCGGCCGTAGATCCAGAGCTTTAAAAACTCCTACAGCTTGTGTTATTTCTTTGGACCGATATGAATTACCTGATAAAGGTTGTTTAAATGCTGCTGTTATTGGTCTGCACCAAGCTACGTTCACATTTGGATGATGTCGTTTCAAGTGCGTTAACAAGTTAGACGTGTTGCCTGCTGCAGATCCAGTCTCCGTGAAACAACGTCGACACACAGCTTTGGATTTGTCCACTTGTCTTTTAACAAGAAAGCCATAATGTTCCCAAACTGGAGACTGCAAGGAGACGCTAGGCTGCTAATGCTAGCATGCTGCAAGATAATAGTGCCGTGCTGAAACACGCTTAGGAACTTTAGTTCTGCAGCGCATAATCTCTCGTTAATAAAATTTAATGAGTGAAAAAATAACAAACGGTACGCACATGGACCGGACCGAACATGCTGTACCGAAACGGTTCAATACACCCACGTGTACCATTACACCCTTATGATCTCCACTCTCTGCCACCTGCCAGCGCTCTCGGCCACACCCACTTCTCCGCTGCAGAGCAGAGATATGACACGCTGCAGAAGGGAGCTTCTCCTGCACATGTGGGCTGCACACAGGTGCAGGAGGTGCTAAATAATTTAAAACAATTTATTTTAAATTTAAAAAAATGCAATAATTGTGTGTAAGGATGGGAATTGATAGGAATTTGGCAATTCCAATTCCTTTATCGATGTCACCTATCGATTCAATTCCTTATCAATTCTGTTATCAATTCTCATTGGGTTAGGCAATAAAATATAGTACACCATTTGTGTGCATGAAGTATTTAACGCTCTTTCACCAGAGCAAAAATAGAACTGCTATGAAAAAAGAATTCCTAATTAACATTATTAACACATCATCATAAAACACAACTACACTTTTAAATTTTGGCAAACTAGCAATTTTTGTGCAGAAAAATGAACGTTTGCTTTCTCAGGAAGGATACGAGATCTTTCTGGACTTATAGTATCTCCAGCTGTGGAGAACACCCTCTCAGATGGGGTGGAGGATGTTTGGACACAGAGATACTTCTCAGCTAAAGCTGTTAATATGGGCAGTGTGTCCTTCTTCATCCACCACCAGAGGGTGGGGCTTATGGGAGGCATCTGAAATTATTGACATAACAACTTGTAATCCACAAGGTTCAATTTTAAATTAAATAGTGTAATAATCCATGCAATCTGTCATCTTTAGTTACAAAAATCAAAACTTACATATTTATCATCTACATCCTCTTCTGCCTGCCTCTGTGTCTCTCCCAGCTCTGTGTAGGATTAACAGTCCTCAGATCGTTTAATTTTTATGAGTAATTTTATTCTGAAGGGGCACCACTGGCTTCCAGTTCTGAAGCCAGAAAATTATTAATATTATTCAATCAGACTCAAGTTTAGTGCTCTAATGAATTCTTTTCGTATTAAATTCAAAAATGTCATATATAATAAAAACGCTTTGAGTCAAAGTACAATTTTGTGAGATTTATTATCAATTTTGATGAATATAAGTGATCAAACGGTGAATACAGCTGCAGAATGAATGATGGCTTTACTTTGACCACACCAAGAGGTTATGGAGTTATCTTTTAAACTTTAATATGGTGAATTATGAGGTTACAAAGCAGAGTAAATTATCATCTATAAAGTTAGCTAAATGAAGTGTTTTGGCTAGATGTGATTTGTCAATTTAGGAAAACTTAATTCTAATTAATGATGATGAAATTTTTAGATTGGACAACTTCTTATCTTGGGCATCAGACACCAGCAGAAAACCTGAGCAGCTTTTTCCTACTGATTGGAAGGTGATCTGCAATTCAACCTCCCGGAGGGTCACCAGAACTCTTGAGATGACTTATGAGCCAAAGGTGGGATTCCCCTCGCCACTGGAAATCAGCTGAAATCTAGAGTCAATAGTTGACTCGCGAGGGGGGTCAGTTGATGAGCTCCCAGAGGGCTGCGTTTTCTCCTTCTGGTGGCAAAGATCTTCTGGCAATAAATATCCAATTGTTTGACCTTCTTTCTTCAAAGCTTCTTCCAGACTGCTCTAAGCCAAATGTCAGAAATAAATTTCTTTGACTTAGAGGGCGTTACAATGTGATGGTCGAGCCAATCACGACAGAAGGGTGGACCTTCTTTCAAGTTACTGTTGAACTTTAATAACCTTAATCAAAAATATTAAATGGCTAATTTACTCTGCTTTGGTAAATTCTCAATATAACATAATAATCAGACTTCTAAGCAGCTTTTTACTCATCCATAAACATTTTCATTAGAACTTATGCACACAGTTGTAACTTCTGAACACCAGTTTTATATCAACTTCCTTTATGCATGATTACTGAGTATTGAGCTGAGAAAGTAAATAAACTTAGCCGTTTTTACAGCAAAACATTCAATTGTGTTCAGGAGAACTCAGAAATTTAACTTGTTAAAAAAAATTGATTTCTACCGTGAGATGGAAAGAAGAGTCCTTGAAAACAATGGGGTCTTTCTCACACTCTAAGACTGGAGGATGAATCCTCCCTTTAGGAAGAGATAAGCGTATGTTTAGATGTTATATTTCACAGGTCAGATGGAAAAGTTCTCATACAAAAGGGCCTTTCAGCTTTGCTGAAATCCTAAAACCAGGTGTGCAATTAATTACAATAACAGGTTTTTGTTATTCATCTTATATGATAACATGTGATTCCCATATGATCCAGCTTTAGGGATGGAGAGTCAGTTACTTTCAAAGTATCAAAAGAATAAAAGTTAATGATAGAAAAACCTTGATGTGTCCCTACATCTGACAGCTTAAGAAGAAATTCACCATGAAAATCACTGAGCAACAAGAAACGGTCTCACAACAGAAATAGGCTACAATTAAACACTGAACAAAAATATAAAACTTTTACTCTTACATTTTACTCTTCCCTGCTTCGATGAAAGGGGAAGCTAAAGGTGTGCTAGCACCAGCCTCGGAGCCAGCCAGACTCCGGCAGTCCTCGTCAACTAAATGTTATTACAGGAGATGGAGATAATTTATACAATCCAGTGAAACAGTGCAGCAAAAAGGTAACAGTCGACAGGACCTGGAGGAGTTAAACGTTACCTGCTGTGACATTTAATTCAATTCAGTTTATTTTTCTAGCGCTAAATCACAACAAAGTTGTCTCAGGGCACTTTACAGAAACATTCACATACATAAAAGCCAATTAGTAAAGTTCTCTATCTATTTAAGACGGAGGAGGACGCTTTGCTAGCTCCACTTCCACCCCACCACCAAGCAGCGTGTTAAAGACGGTACATTTGAGCAAACTAACCACATGCTGCGTGGTCAAATGCTTCTGCATGTTAGAAGTATTTCCGCCCTTTGTTGTAATCGGTGCTTTGCATGTGTTGCAAGTAGCCCTGGTTTCGTCTTTTTTTATGAAGTAGAGCCACGCGCTAGACCGCTTCATCCTCGACGCCATGTTAAATACCAAATACGGCGCATGTCTGCGATGCCATCACGTAAATGCGTCACCACGACGAGTCAGTAGAACCGATAAACAGAATCGTTAGGAAGCTGCCTACAATTCCAGGGAATTGAACTACTAAGAACCGGTTCTCTAAAGGAACTGGTTCTCAATTCCCATCCCTAATTGTGTGTCATGTCCAATACTTAGAAAAAACGCAAAAGAGCGAGTCCGCGAAAGTGGAACCGCGAAGTAGCGAGGAACTGTACTGTACTTAATTTACCACTTACAAGAAAGTTTGGCTCCTGGGAAGAGAAATAAAGAAAAATGTGACGGTAGTTTAATACTTTTGCACGCCACTGTTTATCATACGAGATAACTGAGCTGACAGTAATTCTCTCTGATTGGGGTGAACATGTTACGTTGTATGTGTAAGCATCTTTACAAACTATTATCTCAGGTTCAGACACAAATGTAATGTAAACTTAAAAAATTAAATTCAAATTAAGAAATTAAACATATTTCATATTGTTTTGTGACTTATTTTAGTTTACAGACTTCCTTTTCAGTTTGTCACCTTGTTTCTGTCGTGTGTGCTGAAAGGCCTTCCCTGTGTCACGGAGCGGTGGATGGATTTGCTCCAGAAACATGTTTAATTCATCAGAACTGCTGTCATGATGCATAAATAGATGAAGGGTTTTAACAGGAAGTAACGTTTAGTTACAAACTGCTCTCCTTCACTTTCAGCACTGATCACTCTGTTCTTGTTCTTCAGGGTCTGAGGACGAGGAAAAACAGCACTAAGATGGTTTGTCAGCCTCTGCAACGTGACTGGTTGCACCTACAATGTTTTTGTCTTTTTTTTTGTTTGTTTGTTTGTTTGTTTGTTTGTTTGTTTGTTTGTTTGAACTCGACCACAATGTTTCCTTAAAGAACGAGTCCGTGTCACAGTCACAGCTCCAGACATGAAAATAAAAAAGGACAGAAATCATCCTCTGGAGCTCAGCTGTGGTAAATAAGGAGCCTTCTACATCCACACTACGTCATCCACGTATGACACGGGGACAACAAATGAACCAACCCCACCCCCACCCCACCCCTCCCTCCATGTCACTACATTTTGTCAGTATGAGAGAGATTAAAAGAGGATAAAACACTAACCAAAGACTTTTTCCCTCAGTCCTCTGTCCATCGTTAGACTTGCAGTCAGTTTTTCATCACTCACAGAGACACAGCGATGATGATGATGGTGATGAGGAGGAGGAACATGGGGTTCACTCAGAGGACAAAGTATCACCCCCCTCCTACACACAGACACTGCTAAGACCTGCAGGCTTTAAACTCTTGCGATGATAAGAGGTCGCTGTTAAAGTCTTTTCTATCCAAGAAAGCCGAGGACGTTAATCCATCTGTGTAAACGTAATCACTGTGTGTGGACCCCCTCCCCCCGTACTCCCAGTGTCCACTCCCCTCACCGCTCCTAAGGGACCTCTGCCAAAGTGACTCGCTTCCTGTTTGTTTTTCTTGTCCTCTGCTCAGCTTGGCTCCTCAGAAATCAGCGTTCTCCTCCTCACTGCTCCGATCTGGACGAGCTGTACCCCCCCCCCCCCTCCAGTTCCCTCCATTATGACTAAACTACTGTTTGAAAGTTCAAATCTATAATTCCCCCCACCCACTGTACAAATAAAAATCAACTTTAAAGAAATTAAAGAAAGCAGGGATGTTAAAGCTTTTTTCTGAAATTTCCGTTTTCTTCATCCCGGCATTTGGTTTATCCTCCTCTTCCTCGGTCTTCCGCTCCACGTTTATGTCACCGGTCATTCCTCCGCTTTTTAAATATATATATATATATATATATATATTTCACAGCTTTTGGAGCCTTTTTCGTTTCCATTTCATCTTTTTTTGTTTGTTTGTTTGGGGTTGCTTATAAAGCGAACCCCACTTCTTGCTGTAGATTTCCTTTACAGATTAGAGAAATTATTTCGATTAGTTTTCATTTTTGAGTCGGTGTGATCGATAAGGGGAGGAAAGGTAGATTTATAGGAATACTTTACTACTGGGATGCAGTTATGTAATCAATTAAAGGAAGCTGCAAACGTGCTGCTTTTATTGTCTTTGTTGTTGGTGTTCCAGTGTCCACGAGGGGGCGCTGGAGACCGTTTTTGTTTCAAACCTGAAGCAGATCAGTCAGCTTTCCAGAGCAAGACCGTAAGAATGAATCTTTATTATCAACAGAAGAGATCCGGTTTCCCCCCTGCCTTAATTTTTCAAATAAAGCAGCATTCACGCAACCCCACCAACACCACTGCTCTTCTCCACACAAATCAGAAGTTTGCCCACCCCACTTTGTTTGTAATGCTTTAATTTTTAGACATTTTTAATAATGATTTGTTAACTTAATTGAAATATGCTGGTAATCACAAAGATGTGTATGGCGAAAATTTGTTTCTCTCAAATAAATGCATGTAATGACTTCAATACACGACTTCTTCACTTTGGGGCTGGGGGGGATTTTAATTTGAATTTTATCTTGCATATGGTTTTTGTTAAATTAAAAACAGATTAGGTTAATTTGTGCAGGAATGAAGCATCACTCTTTTAGTGGTAGGGTTTTATTTTTAATAAAACATAATATGACGGCTGTGGTCGAAACGCTTTAACAAAGTGATGAAGTCCGTCAGCAGAAAATATTACTGGACATCAGGTTGTTCGTTATGGCGGCAACACATTTACTGTAGAAGAAGAAACTAATCGAGGTAGAAGAAAAGGTGGAGTGATTCCACACCAAAGTGTCCTCCAGAGGTTGTTGTCAGGCTGGGACGAGAGTTTCCAGTTCAGCGAAATGATGAACTGAAGGATGTGACTAAAAGTAGAAAAGTCAAAGATCCTTTGAGAGACGTAGGAAACGATCTGTACACTTGTGGATCCTGTCTAAAACTATTAAAGATTAATGTTTCTGCTCAGTAAGAAAACTAAAAGGAGCTGAGCCTGAGCTAGATTCTTCTCGGTGATGTCGATGTGAAAATCCAAACTCTGCTCATTCAAATGTCCAAGTAAACCCCACTCCAGAAGATCTGAACTCTCACTTTAAGCTAAACGTGTCTCTTTTTAAGATTTCTCCTTCGGGTGTTTTGTTATCCACTTGATTTAATATAGTTTAAGAGTCTGGAGTCATGTTTTCGGTTTTAAGCATTCAAACCAAAACAAATGTTCAACTCTGGCTGAACGTGTTTCTGAGTATGAGGCTTATCGTAAACGCAACAGAATCCCTGACTCCTGGAAAAGAAGAAACCGTGCACTTCTGGGAACCTCCTCACCATCACGAGTGCAGCGAGGAGGCTCTCCCAGGGTGGGGGGTGTGGAGGACGGGCTGGGAAAATCTATGAATTCCTCACTGGACTAATCCTCACCATCAGAACCACAGGAGAGGTGTGAGGACGTATATATACACACACTTTTTTTTTTTTTTTAGTAAATGATATTAAAACAAATCCCAGATCATTCCTGATTGGTAAACGTTCTGAGAGTTCAGGTGAACATTTAACACTTAAGTCATGCTCCAGAGAAAACAAACAAAACAATTCTATCTGATGTCACAAAACAAATTTTCTGAGGCTAGACGCAGTAAATCTGTGATTTATGACAATGTGTCATAATTATTAATTTAATGATCTTTGGTTTCATAGTGTGGTTCTCTAATAAAGATAACTTTTTCTAGAAAAAGAAAACAAGCTTTACTTTTATTTTAATTTGCATGTTTTTATGTCAATGTGTGTTGTGTAAATTTAGCTTGAGGATAAACTCATGTTGTGTTGTGGCTCGTC